ACTTGTGCGAGTCGGATGGGCTCGTTTCCGGGCTTGACTTTGGCTTTGGGGAGCGAGCAATACGGGGCTCCACGATGAATTCCCTGAAAAATTTGCATATGACTGTTTTTCGCTATTTTTTAGATGAACTACAGACTAAAAAGACAACCTACAAAACCTTACTCAGGGCGAAAATCAGATCTACAGACCTGGCTTTTAAAACTCTTCTCATGCTCCTCGGTGAGCTCTTGCTCCTCACCAACCTGTACTCGATCTCCGGATCATCGGCAAATGGGATGGAATCGCAAGACATCGACGGCATCAAGGAGATTCCGACGGCTGTTGGGTTTTTCTAGAGAAAATTAGCACTTTTTCTCTATCCCTCTCTCTCTCTCTCTCTCACTCTCTCCCCTCCCCCCTCTTTTCCCTCTCTCCCTCCCCTCCCCCCTCCCCTCCCCCCTCTCACTTACCTTAATTTCCTGGCCCGTAATTTCCCTATCTTCCGGAATCCTAGACAACGAAGTTGAGCGGGTGACCCTCTTGAAGTGGATGGCATCAGGGTGGACCTGAAAAGAATATGTTGTACGCGTCGCGGATGCGTTGCGTCTACCACCTATTAACTTACCCTCCTCCTCGTCCCGATCATCGTATAAATCGGCGTGTCCTGTGCAGCAACCAAGTTATCAAGGTTCTCAAGCAGTTTGGGCACGCCTGGTTTCCCTGGTAGATGATCATCCTCATGCCCATCCTTGTGCTCATCCGCCTCTGGGGGTGGTGAAGGGAGGGGCGGGGAGGAAGAGGTGGACCTCCGAACCTCGAGCGTCACTTCTGGCTCCTCTGGACGAGCTGGAGGTGGCGTAGGAGGAAGAGGTGGAGGTGGAGGGCTCGGGAGTTGACTACGCTCGATCCTCGGGCTCATCGCTAAAATATCGAAATTTTAGGTACCGTGTTCCTAAAGAATCTTTGCTAGCTCTCCTGGTAGATTTTACTGTTTCATTAATGTGCATGCGATGTACGACTCACTCCTATTGACGATATAAGCCTGTTGCGGCTCAGGCTCCATGGATTCCCTGGCGACAATCTTCTGGATTGGTGTCGACGTGGTGGAGGCGTACGATTCCGCTCCGCTCCTATCCGCCACGGGATCGTCCATAAACAACGGCTCATCCGGGTCGGTGGGTAAAATCGGGTTCCCGTAGCTTCGATAACCCGGAGCTACCGTAATCCCGAGCACATCTGGACTGCTTGGCCCGGGAAGGCCGAAACGGAGTGTAGGCGTCGGCTGAAACTTTGCAAACATAAAATTTAAGGATTTTTGAAACATTTCTTGAAAAAGCCGGTTTTCAAAAATTAATTTTCCCCAGCCCGGGTTTCGATTTTTTCGAAAAACCTGGCAAATGCGTATCGTGAACCAGATACAGGGGCGTAGCCAGAAAAAAATTTCGGGGGGCCCAAAAAATCTTTCCAAAAACCCCAAACATTACCGAAAAAACAGCGCCGCAGGCAAAAATTTGTGAAAAAAGGTTGCGTAGCTCTACAAATAGCCGTAAAAACGTGAAAATGCGCCGCAGGCAAAAATGAGAAAATAAAATCATAAGGGCCTTATGAAATTTCGGGCCCCGGCCGATTTCGGGGGGCCCGGGCCCAGGGGCCCTTACGCTACGTCCCTGGCCAGATGCCAATTTCCAAAAGCTGATTTTGGAAAGCGTTAATTATATGAGGTGCTTTAGGTTTCGAAGGACTGAAGAATGCAAATTGGTATGAAATTTGCGCTACGTTAAATGCAAAATTCCGATCTTTTGAAAAATCCAATTTCGAAAAGTAATTCTTCCAAAAAATTGTTTTGCCCATAATTTTTAAACTGAACTGGTAGCACGTTATCCGAAAAGTTCACGCTCAAAAAGTTGCTTCTTGATAATGCACACTTTCAAAAATCTGGCCTTCGAAATAGCGATTTCAAAAAATGCCGATAACTTCAAAAACCGGGATTTTCTATCAAAATTACCGTCGTTGTACTGCCAGACGCCGTGCTGGTGGCCGTACTCGTTGAAGTCGTCGTAGAAGCGGTAGACGAGGCGGTAGTAGATGATATAAAGCTAGTTGTAGCCATTTCCCGAAGTAGACTTGGTCTTCTAGGGACAGGCAGTGCGAGCTCGTCCAGCTCGAAGTAGCAAAGTTGCTGCGTCGATTGAGCGGCTCTAAAAATAAAATATCTATTTTATCTATGGATTCTTAGCTTTAACGGCCCTTTCAAAGCCATAAAAATGATCATACCTTTTCCTGGGGTCATCATAGACATGGGACTTGACGCCGACGACGGGAGGGGCGAGGGTACCTTAAAAATGGCTTAACAAAATTTATTTTCGCGTTTTTAAAATTAGTTTTTTTTGGCATTAATGCAGAGCTCTTAGTTCTTAATATAATTTAATAATAATAAATATACCTTTTGGGTGGAATTGGAGCGGCTTGGTGCGGTGAAGCCCGCGAGGTGGTAAGCTTTGAGAGCGGGAGAAGGAAGTCGAGGGCTGGGGAGAGGCTTGAGGGCTGAAAATATGTCTCTCTCTCTCTCTCTCGCTCTCTCTCTCTCTCTCTCTCTTGCTCTCTACCTAAACGGTCCATATCTAGGAATAGGTGGCGGTGCCTCAGAAGATGAACTGCTGCTGCTGGCGGCTGAGGTGGTGGAGAGGGGTCCGAGACGTTCAGCTAAATTCAAAAATTGTAATCTATCCAAAATTTGGGACTCCAAAATGATTTCCGCTAGCTAGCGGCCCTTAAAGGGAGGGTGACAGTTATCCAAAAAACTCGCTTCTTCTCAGATTCGAGACGACGACCCTCGGGGGCGGCAAGTCCAGAATCGATGGTCGGTTTACGCCAAAAATCGTCTCGGATTTCTAAAACAAACGATTTTGCAGGCATTGGGATACGGTAGGACTACGGTAAGCTGGAGTGATATGGTCCATAGCTACGTTAGGCTACGGTAAGTTACTGTATGCTACAGTAAGATACGATGATGTCAAATCGGGCTACGGTATGACAGAATAGTACGGCAGGATACGTTGAGTTTACGGCAAGATACAGTATGCGGAGGTAGTACATGGTTATGACAATCTATCGTAAGGTACGATCGAATACGCTAGGATACGGTAAGGCATACGGTAGACTACGGTGTACTACACTACCTTTACCGGAATCTTGACCGGCTCTCGATAGAGACTCCTCCTTCTCCTCTCCTCCTCCAGCTCCTCTTGACGGTTCAGAAAACTTAGGTGCCTATAGGAACGTTACGTAGTTTTGGAGCCTAGGTGCCTACCGTAACAATTCCTCCCGGGACATCGGGCGCCCAGTTCTTTTCTCCAGCTCATCGCTTTTTGCCTAATTTGAGGGAAATTCCTAAGGTGAGAATATGAAGCCATACCTTGTCATTACGGTATGACGTCTCGGAGACGAGGGAATCTTCACTTTCTGCCAATGGGGACACTACCATGTCTTCACCGTAATGACGGATATTCTCGTAGGTGTCACTAAAGGGAATGGTTGTGAAAATATGACGTGGAAGATGAGCGCAAAGGGATATGAGAGAGGGGCCGAGAGAGCGAGAGAGAGAGAGAGAGAGAGAGAGAGAGAGAGAGCGAGAGAGCGAGAGAGTGAAAGAGCGAGAGAGTGAGAGAGAGAGAGAGTGAGAGAGAGTTAGATAATCAGAGAACAACAGAATGAGAGATATACAGGGTTAGAGAATGGGAGCACGAGCGACTAAAAGACAGAGCTTCAGCTTGCGATAATCACGGAATACGACAGAGCGGGACTGAGAAAGAGAAAGCAAGAGAATGAGCGAGAGAGAGCGAGAGAGAGTGAGAGAGAAAGAAAGAGACAAGGACGAGAGAGACTAGAGAGAGAGCCAGAGAGAAAGAGAAAGAGAGCGAGAGAGAGAGACAGAGAGAGAAAGAGATAAGAGCTAGGTTTTTGTCCGTCTGTACACACAGTTCCCCTGTACACGACAATTCCTGTGCATTTGTTGCCCACCACCGAGAAAAACACACGTCCGTTCAGAAACCGTTTACTCCAAAAAATTGTAAAAAAATCCGGGGATAATTCGGGGGATTGGGGTCAGCTGAAAAACACACTGATTATGAAGGGGGAACCTGGATAAAATTGGGGGAGAAATCTGAAGAAAACACGGCAGTCGGTGTGATTTGTATTTTTGGGGAATTATGAGGCTCGAAAAATCAAGGCGCTTGGTCCATAGGTGTGGTAAGTACTGTGGAAAACAAAAGTAAGGTTTGGACTAGCAGAGTTATTTATTTTTGTCCAGTTTAAAAAATTGTTTTGTGTATTTTTAGTAGATTTTAGTCTGACAAAAAAATTAGACGTTCCTTTGGGATGCTAATTAGAATTCGGGGGTTGGTTAGGGGAAAAATTTGGCCGGGCAACTGAACGAACGGGCGTTTTTTCGGCAAAGGTGCAGATATGCAAATTAGGGTGTGTGCGTGTGTGTGGATACGAACGATATGGAACGGGTAAGGTAGCAAAAATCTTGAAAATCGGCTTCACTTAGGCTTAGGCTTAGGCATAGGCTTAGGCTTAGAGGCTGCTGGATCCAGCTTGTGACCAAGCTCGCAGATAAGCCCAAGTCTAAGCTAAACCTAAGCTAAACCGAAGCTAAGCCTAAGGTAAGTATAAGCTAAGCAAGGGGAAGCCTAAGCGAAGTCTCAGTAAAGCCTAAGCTAAGTCTAAGCTAAGCCTAAGCCAAGCCAGAGCGAAGCCTAAGTCAAGCTTAAACTAAGTCCAAGCTAAGCTTAAGTTAAGCCTAGGCTAAGCCCATCCTCCCAATTTCCATATTGTGCGGGTGCTACTTTTCTCTGTTTGTGCTGCTCGATTCAAGTGACTAGAAAAGAGAGACTGTGGGTGTAGCGTGGATATTGTGAATGAGAATTCAAATGCAAAGATGTGGAGGCAAAAATCGGGGGGTCTAAAGGGACGGTGACACAACACGAGGGGCGGGGCTTGTCTCCGAAAATCCCTCACAAATGGCCGATGACGTTGCCGAGCGGGTCACGGGTTTGGTAGAGACGGAAGATTTCGCCCTTGCTGTCCATCAGGTCTAGAAAAGAGTTTAAAAAATAGATAATTTTTCCCAAGGTATCTTTGCTAGTTTGCTCATGGCAGGGCAAGCTAGCAGAGACAATTTGAGGAATTTCCATACCTGCATTCTCGGTCCTGGGCCCAGTATCCTGTACAAAAAGGCCATCTCGGGAAGCGGATCTTCCGGTATGCTGGTTCGGGCTGTGGCTGCGATTTCGGCGTTCCTGAAGAAAAGCTTGTTTATCAGAAATTTCCACCAGATTCTCTGCTCGATTGCCTATTTTGAAAGCTTCTAAAGGGCAGGTTGGATGCAATTTTACACCGAAAATTCATTCTCAAAAGATCTCTGCTAGCATGCCTGTCTGGGATGCTCTAAGGAGCCCTGCTGCCTGCCCAATGCCAGAATATTAATCCGAGTCTGCCCAGTGTTAGGATCTGATTCTATACGCTCTGCAAGCTTGCCAGGTCCCACTATTTTTCCCGATAGATCCATGCAAGCTTGCCTAACGAATTTTCCCAAATAATTTTTGCTGTTTTTCCAAAAGATCTCTGCTATCTTACCCTCCTACGCTTTTATCTCCAAAGGTCTCTGCTAGCTTGCCCAGCCGGCACCACAGTTTCCCAAAAGATCTCTGCTAGCTAGCCCGGATCAACTAATTTTCCTAAAGGATCTCCGCTGGCTTGCCCGAATCCGCCACCCCGATTCTCAAAAGAACTCTGCTAGGCTGCCCAAAGCTCCCGATAGCCGTCGGTATTATTTGGCTTATTCCCAAAGAATCCCTGCTAGCCTGCCCTCTCATCTAGCTGCAAAGCTCTAAAACTTACCAATTCTTGATGAGACCTACGATGCCGGGGCCGATGCCCGCTTCTGGCTCTGCGTTCAGAGGTTGTGGTGGTTTCCTCACGTCTCTTTACCTAAAAATTGTCCCAATAACCGTAGGCGAGGTTTTTTTACCTCGACAAGGCGTCCTCTACGCTCCTCGGAACGCCTGGGAGCCATGTAGTCCCCAGAATCGGAGGTGTCTACTTGGAGTGGGCCTCGGATGTGGCTGGAAAGTTTAATTAAATCTCTCGCTCTCTCTCTCTCTCTATCTCTCTCTTTCTCTCTCTCTCGCTCTTACCTCTCAACCGGTACCCTCTCTACGGTAATTGGTATATTCCGACCCCGATACCGCGCCTCTGGTATTGGCGATCGACTGGGTTCCCATCTGAAATTCCCAGATAAATTTTTTTATTATCGTGGACGTTTCTTAAGCCATAATTCTACTACCACCACCCCACACCCGATACCTAATCGTGTCTGTGCGCTCGTAGGCGGCGAGCGAGTTTCTATAACAATTTGGCTGGACAGAGACCGAGAGAGAGGAGAGAGAGAGAGGGGGGGAGTGGAGGTGGGAGGGGGAGAGAAGCAGAGAGCGAGCGAGAGAGAGAGGGAGAATGAGCTAAACGACCAACCTCTCGTCGAACGTGTTGAGGACGGGCACGACGGCCTGGCTTGGGTAGGCGGGTAGAGGCGATCTAGAAATTCTTGACTTGCCAAAACGTTTAAAAGTTAGAGAAAAAGAGCGAGAGAGCAAGAGAGATAGAGATAGAGATGAGAAAAGGGACGAACACCAACCTAGGAACAGGTGACGCTCGATACGGCTCCTCCAACACTGGGCTCCACTGAACCCGGGGCCGTTCCATCACTTCCGGCAAGTCGTTGATCATGGTGGCGGTTCTGAACTTGTTGGTGACGCTTGGAAAGGAAAAAGCCCCTCAAGTAGTCGGATCGGGCGATTTACAACAAACCTTGCAGTGGTCCACCTCTCATATGGGGCTCCATTAGCCCGAACGAGGTGAGCACGATCGTCAATGCCAGGTGGTGGGGGGAGTACGATACGCTCCGGGCGGTCATTGTCGATTGGGGTGCGGAAGACCTGGAAAAGAGGAGGGTGGGTTTTAACTGCCGGAGTATGAGGGGAGCTTGAGCAACAGTTTTAGCATGAGCGTCTCACCAGATTGAGCACCACGCGCGACATAAGACAGAGCTCAAGCCTGTTCAAAAGCTGCAGCGCACTCCGATCCTGACTGGAGCACGAGCTTTTGAGCATGACTTACCTCTACAGTAGTTGTTGTGGTGATCTGATCATTCAGCACACCGTCGCCACCTCTGGATATCCGTTGGGCTTGCGAGTCTGGGATCTAAAAGTTGAATTTTAGTAGCAGTACCGTAATTTGAACATAACGCTATTGCCGTACTACCTTAATGCTATGTAAAAGGCATCATTAATGCTGTACAAAATTGACCTGTATTTGCCCGCGGCTGTGACCTCGTTGAAGCGGATAGTTGGGCGAAGGCTCGATTCGGCGTACTTCGGTGGGGCCCTGAAGAGAATCACGTGGATTGGGCGTCTAGGTTAAGCCTATGCTAGGCCTAAGCCAGAGCCCGAGCTCTTGCTTACCGTTTGGAAGACGTTGAGCGTCACCTTGTCAGGCGGGAACATATCATCGGGTGGACTGTCCCGTCCATCGAACCGCATTTCCGGGGAAGGCGGCCGCATTGGGGAGACCGACGTGTGCCGGGAGTCTGAAAACCTAGTTTTAAACCGTAATACAGTACTACCGATGATAAAGTAAGCGCCAACAACAAAACTCTTGGTTTTGTCAAGTTAATAAAAGGATACCTCGCGCTACTGGTCGATACGAGAGCGCGCTATGCGGCCTCGAGTCGATGGCCAGAGTTGATGGATAGGTTAGTGGATATGGGCCGGAAGTGGATGGCCATCCAGATGTGTTCACCATCGATTGTTGAGACCCTGGAAAACACGGCAAATTGTTAGAAATTAAAAATTAGTCTAGTTTTTACATTGGGCTGGCTTGCACGGCTTTTTGGGAACCTTTTTAGCGTCTCAATCAAGGGAGGCAAACTTGCAGGGATTTTTGGGGATCCGGAAAACCAGAAACAAATCTATGGTCGTCGAGGGGTTTTAGTCATCTTTCCTAAAAGTCATCTTTCCTAAAGTCATCTTTCCTAAAAGTCATCTTTCCTAAAAGTCATTTTTCCTAAAAGTCATTTTTCCTAAAAGTCATCTTTCCTAAAATTCATTTTTCCTAAGTCATTTTTCCTAAAAATCAATATTTCTCAGTTGGTTTTTTTGCAAGAAAAATTTTTTTTGGAGAGGCCCGGGCCGTAAAATTTTAATGTCTCCATGCCGTACTAGATCTTTTCGGGATGTTTTGATTTAAGTTATGCTATCTTTGAATTCGTAAAACTATTCAGAAATCAAAAAATAGGATAGGCTCCGATGCGACTAAGAGCTTTTATGAGGACTGACGGCGTTCAAGGCATTTTGCCGTTCCTACACAGGTAGCTAGGGTTGTTACGGTCCGGACCGAAAAAGTCGGTCCGGTCCAAATTTTTTTTGGACCGACTGGACCGACTTTTTTTTGGACCGTTGGACCGCCTGGACCGCCTGGACCGACTTTTTTTTGGACCGTTGGACCGCCTGGACCGCCTGGACCGACTTTTTTTTGGACCGTTGGACCGCCTGGACCGCCTGGACCGACTTTTTTTTGGACCGTTGGACCGTCTGGACCGATTGGACCGACTTTTTTTCTGGACCGTCGGACTGAATGGCAGGATTTTTTTCTAACGAGTCCGGCTTTTCTGAAGGGTCCGGCATGTCACTGGTCCGACGGTTTCCATATTCTGGACGGAAGCGAACTATAGAGTGCACCACTCCCCTCCCTCGTTCCCTTTTTGGGTGCCCCTGGCTCCCTTTTTTTAGGTTAGGGAACGGGGCGGCCGCAGAGAGGGCTGAGAAAACCAGACCTTCTTTGCTGTTAGTTAGCGCAGCCGACTTCCCCCACCCGAACCCCCCACCCCCCGCGGCTAAATTTCACTTTACGGTATGTTCTCAAAATGTCATTTTTTTCGTCTGGAATCGATGGATCCCGACGGGTTCGTGCGTTTTCAGTTAAAAAAACATTTGGGAAACGCTTCTGGACAAAGTTATTAACCTTAACCTTTAACCAAGACAGGCTAATTTAACATCAGGGTGGGTCTCCTCAGCTGGATCCCTGGTGTTTTCTAGTTCAAAAGGTTAAATTCTTAGGTGTAAAGTATGGTATTTTCAGTTTAATTTGAAATTTGTGTTTTTGAATGAGTTTTAGTTACATTTGTTTCACTTTCTCTGAAATTTTATTTGAAAGTGTAAAGGCGGTGTCGATAGGGTGGGTGTGTAGGCTAACGTAAGCGAATGGATGGGATGTTTGGTAAGACTAACTAATCGAAAGAGTAAAGAATTGAAGAAAAGGCGAAATTATAATAAACTGGTACTATTAAAGTATGAGAAGGAAAGAAAATATTTACGGAAGTGTTATAGGTTTTAGTTTTAATTTGTGCATCAAGTTTTTTCCACTAGTATCTTATTTTAGGCTGAGCCCTGGGTGCTTTTTCATAGCTTTATTGCATAGATTTAGTAAAATTTTACTGGGGTAGCCGTTTTTCAGTAAGTGGGTAATTAGATTCTGTAAATGTTTTGTAAATGTTTTATATGGATAGTTTGAGTCGGTCCAGCCGGTCCGACGGTCCAAAAAAAAGTCGGTCCAAACGGTCCACTCGGTCCGACGGTCCAAAAAAAAAGTCGGTCCAAACGGTCCAAACGGTCCAACGGTCCAAAAAAAAGTCGGTCCAGGCGGTCCAGGCGGTCCAACGGTCCAAAAAAAAGTCGGTCCAGGCGGTCCAGACGGTCCAACGGTCCAAAAAAAATTCCGTTGGACCTGCCTGGACCGACTTTTTCGGTCCGGACCGTAACAACCCTACAGGTAGCAGCTTTCAAGTTAGGCGGAGGTGGCATCCCTATTCGCATACCTAACTTCAGGAAAAATTAATCTTCGAAAAAAATAGTTTTTAGAAAAAAGTGATTGAGGAAAAATAAAAATTTACGATTACCAAGTTTTAGGAAAAATGACTTTTAGGAAAGATGACTTTTAGGAAAAATGACTTTTAGGAAAGATGACTTTTAGGAAAAATGACTTTTAGGAAAGATGACTTTTAGGAAAAATGACTTTTAGGAAAGATGACTTTTAGGAATGATGACTTTTAGGAAAAATGACTTTTAGGAATGATGACTTTAGGAAAGATGACTTTAGGAAAGATGACTTTTAGGAAAGATGACTTTTAGGAAAGATGACAGGGATTCGTCGTCGAGGCAGGCTAGCGGCGGTCATTAAAGAAGCGGGCGAGCTGGCAGAGATTTTCGGGGATCGAGGCGAGTTAGCAGAGATCGTCTCAGAAAGGGTGGGCTAGCAGAAACCCTTAAGGAATTGAAAGCGAGACACGCTGGCAGAGATCATTGGGGATGGGCTAGCTAGCAGGGCTGGCAGAGACCCGAAGGAATTGGAGCCAGCTGGCAGAGACCATTTAGGACTCGGTAACTTAGCAGAGATGATTTGGGAAGTGATAGTCTAGCAGAAATCATCTAGCAAAAAGGCAAGCTGGCAGAGATCTTGACGGAATTTAGGAAAACTAGCAGAGACCATTTGGGAGAGGGCAGGCTCGCAGAGAATCACTTGGGAAATAATCAAAGAAAAAGCGAGAGAGAGAGAGCGAGAGTGAGAGAGATAGATCCCTATTATAACTTACCTAAAGGCGAATACTCCTCCCTCAACGGAATCTCGCAAAATCCCGAATAGTCAAACTGGCGTCTAGCCATTGCCATTTCAGGTGTGCCCACTGTGTCCTCCAGGGCCAACCGGATGCCCGCCGCATATCCGGCACCCGGCATATATTTCAGAGCCCGGCTGGCGATAGAGCGAGAGAGACAGAGCGGTGCGAGAGAGAGTGAGTAGAATATCTCAAGTCGCGTGAAACACGATCCTAGGGCTCTTCTGAGGGGAGAATGGAGTCTGCCACGGGGGTGAGAGCTAGTAGAACAAGCAGATAAAACAAATAGATGGCTGCCAATGGGTGGGATGTGTCAAGCAGCTAGCGCAAAGGGGGAATATAATGGCTGA